TATATATATATATATATATATATACACATGTTTTATAATTATATAATCATTGGAATATACTTTGATTTCTCAAGATTACTCTGATAGACCTTCCATTATGCAACATATAAACAGGCACTCACACATACATGCTAATTAATATGGCTAAGTAAGTACAGTCATGGCCGCTTCTTAAAATATATATATATATATATATTGACAAATCTTTATTGCGCGTTGGACACTTAAGCTAGGCGTAAACTAAATTACTTTGTACGTTATTCTCGTTCGTGGCACAGACCTTGTCAGACGGGCGTTTCCGCATTAGTATCCTTCCTGCAACAGTGACAACTCGCGATTAGTTCCGATTCTATTGGACGCTATCGAGAAAATTAGAGATAAAATCGTTGCGGTTTGCAGGACGATTTGTAGATTTATATCGTCACACTCGCTTACCTCCTCGCTGATGATTTGACAGTCAGGGCAAGCACGGATCACAGAAAAGATATAGTTATGTTAGAGAACGTTCCAACGCCACCTTTTGTGTATACAGCAAGGAGAAATATGGGAAACCAAAGAAAACCAGAATGAATTAAAAAGAGTGTTATAAAATTGCGCTAAGACAAGAAACGCTGTAACTTAAGTATGTTAGTTCGCCGCCAACCTTTTTTTACGTTGGATGTGACGTACTTGTATTGTCTTTTTGTAAATTGTTTTATATGTCAATGAACGCATCAACTTTTTGAATAATCGTTTATATAAAGGTTTCTATTTTTATCCTATGTGACTACGTTTTATTTCTATGACTTTGTTAATTTTGATTATAAGCTTTCATTATGACTTTATTTTTTATTAATTATGTAGTTATTGCAGTCACAGATCGTTTCCAAGTTCACATGCATTCTATTTTAAAATGTAATTTCTCATACAACTTTTTCCTGTTAATTTCTCTTAAAGATTCTACATATTGAAATAGTATTTTTTTTTTTATTATTCTTAAAAGAGGATTCTATTTTCAATATAGATGATTTACATACAATATATGTAATAATGTAAAATGCTTTCGCTCTGTTATTTTATGTCTTTGATTCTGACATCAAATCCATCGTATATAAAAAGCACGTTTTTACTTTGCATCTATTTGAATTTATTTAACAAGCGCCATTCGATATCCAAAATCTAAATATGATATATGTGTTTATTACTCACTCGGTCTCGGCGATAGTTTGCTCGTATTGTTGCTGCTGTTGCTGTTGTTGTTGCCTGAGCGCCGCCAGTTCATTACTGTGTTGTAGGTCATGGGTCAACGAACTCGACAGTATCCTGCCGCTCATCGGTAAGATATATTCGGGCCTATCCTCCAGAACGGTGGGGGTGCCCATCTTGCCGCGTTTTAGACTGCCGTATCTTTCGGAACCGCTGAGGTTGTCATGCTGGGAGCCGTGCAGACTTTGGCCACGTTTCAGGCTGCCGTAACGCTGCTCGGAACCACTCAGGTTTTCGTGATTCGAATTCTGTGAATGATGGCTCATGCTAGAGGCGAGGATGCGTGACGACATGGACAACATGTACGGTGTGGGTGACACTGTATGGTCTTCCTCGGCGGTATAAGGGAATAAATACTTTTCTCCCAAATGATGCATTTTCTCTTCACCTTCTGAGTAGTTCTCGTCCGGCTGGTTCTTTTGCGGTGAGTTTATCTCCGGATATGGCAGCGGATTCGGGCTCGAAGTCTTGTTCGAAGCTATTTCGTTATCTGACATAGTACCACCGGACCATTGGCTACTTCGTACATCCATCACTGTAAAAAAAATAAATAATATTTTTAACTTTTTTCAAAAATATCATCAACCCTTTATATTTATATAAGTATTGTGTGCTACTATAAAATGAGAAATAACATTTAAATCTTTTAAATGGAATTTTAGTTTTACTATCTTTTCATTTCTCATATTGTTTTACAATCACTGATCTCTTTATGATTCAAGATTTTTTACACATGTTTTTCTCATTATTCTTAATTTAAAAACTCGTAATTGCCAATCTCACCATTCGATGACAGATATGCTTCTGGCAGTTGGGAACTCCATCTCGGGGCGTAGATTGGTTTGATGTTGGGGAAGAGTTCAGTATTCGAGCAAAGTATGTTCAAGTGTTCGGCGGGATTAGTGTGAATATTGGGCAAATAACTGTGAGTGACGTGCTGTTGTGTAGATACTCCCATATTTCTGTGCGATCTCGACGTGACGTCATCCTCGTCGGAGCTGTGCGAACTGGCGAGGTCCAGGCTTCTGCCGCCTCCTTCGGCTTGCGAGCCATCGGAGTCTGATTCTGATTCTCTGCGCTGACCTCTTATCTCCGTAGATTCTTTCGTAAACATTGTGTAACATTAGCTTAAGGATAAATAAGTGAAAAGAGTGATTTTCGATTAAAGCGGGTTTTGATCGAAATATAAATTTTTATAACTTCCAATTTAAACAAATTTCGTGCCGATTATATTTGTCGGTCTCGAAACAGAGTCTCAGATCGAAATTAGATTATGTAATATCATAAATTAAACACTTGGTTTAAAACTTATCTATTATAAAAATTTATGAATAAACTCAAATAAATTAGTTTTAATATATGGTATAATTAATTTTTTGTGGTTCAATATGTCCTTTCGTATATTATAGTTTTTAAAATTTTTTATTTGTTGTTTATAAAAGCTATACCTTGTCGAGAATTTAGTGCTGATCGATGACTCCTCGACGACAGATACGGATCTCGATCGCTATTGTAATTACTTGTGGAGGTTGATGTATGTCTCAAGTGCGTATCGCTACGATAAGGGCTTGAACCTGTTTTATTTGTACTTCTTGAGGTTGTACTACTTGTAGAAACGCCAACGTGAACTCTCTTGCATGCGGATTCGGCTCCGCTATAAGTCGAGGAGTAAGCTAGCGCTGAACGCTGAAACATAAACGTCAATATTAATGCGTTCATATTTAATTAGTATATTTATAACAAGAAATCAATTTTAAATTACATACTGAATGACCATTTACATTTTGACTGCTACTTCCGTTTCCCATGCTTCCTTCAAGCAAGGGCGCTTTTTTGCCAATACATCTTAATAGACTTTGATATAAATTTCTCCTAACTCTGCTATTGATGAAACAGTAACCGATGAGACTGAATGCCGCGTGAACCACGATAGCGACACTCAGTAAATACGAAAGCATCGACGAGTTCTCTGATGCATTGAGAACCGCCAAAGTCCATGTGGAGCCTAGTAAAGGTAATGAAGCCACAGAGAGCCATAGGAGCGTTCGTAAATTTCCAAAGCCCATGATGTGCTCTTTCAGAGTAAACGCTGCGCGAATGCACATTACGAGAATGCAGAAGTTCACCAATACGGCAGCGCAAACGGGACCTATGAGCGCCCAAATCACGGTTTCATAGATGGACAACCAGCAGCTGAAAAATTAAATAAAAATTTATATATAATTAAAAAATTCCATTTGAAAATTCAAAAATGTATTTTATTTTAAAAATTATATTCTATTATGTTTTAGTAATTTTGACAAGTCGCAAAAGAATATGTTATTATAATACAAATTACCGTCGTCGAATTATATCATATCATTTAAGTTTTAATTTTAATCTACAATTTTATCTTTATAAAGATATTGTGATTTACTCGATAAAATAATAAAATTTTAACATGTTAAGGTCAACTTACAAGTAGAAATTTCCATACTGATCAGCCCTGACGCCGATAGTAAGTCCAACAATGACAGCCGGTAGACCATATCCCATAGTGTAATAAAATCTCATCTGGCCATGGTTCACATCTCTCATTTCCGTCAGCATTCGATAGAGATGAACGGAGTCTACGAGGGTCCAGGCAAAAGTGCTCAACCAGGTGTAATGCAATCCTATCGCCGTGAGTTTGCATGGGAATTCATTGGAGATGAGAGGATTTCTGGCTTTGAGGGCGATTAGATACAGGATTTCCGCCATAAAAACGCATAACACCAAATTTTTGTGAATACTGTTAGAGTTGGTACCACCGCCGCGAATTAACGCCAGGATCAAGAGAGCAGATAATAGCAGCGGTAAGGCGAGCATGAACGCGCTATAACTGGTCACATCTTCTAATAAAGATGGTTCGGGAACGTATTCAAGATCGAGGACGTCTGTCAGTATGGCAAAGGTGGACAGTTTCATGCAAGAGCAGTTCACAATAGTACCGAATGACAGGGAATTGTCTTCGATTTCTGTGGTGCAGCCCATTCGACTCCATTCACCGATTCTAAAATTGATCAAATAAAAGAAATTTTTTTGTAAATATGAAATTTTTATTAAAACAGAACAAAATTCAAATTTTTGTACAAATGAATTGTGACCAATCAATTGCCAAATTAAATCAGTTTTTTTTATAGAAAATTAAAATTTCTTAATTTGTGAAAAGAGTCAATTAACTTCTCTTACCCCCTTGCCGTGCTCCAATGGACGCATTGCGGATTTGTTCTGGTCTTGAAATCATTGTTTTCATGAAGCCACAGTCTGACTTGAATCGGTGACTGCAAAGGAATTCCTGTCAAGGACTCGTAGCCATCATCCGAGGGAACTAACACCGAGACAGTCATTACGGGCGATCCAACTGCTACTTCTACTCCCCATCTAACTGATACTGAGTCATCGAATCTATAATTCAAACATTAGCATTAAAGTAATTAGCCAAGTAAGCGATCCTTTTATTCCCATTTTTTTGCATATAAAGTTTAATAAAAAATAATAAATTCTCTTAGTACTTAAAATAATAGTATTAAAATAATAATTAATTGATACGCAATAATTGAGCAATATAATATACCTTTGCGGTAAGAGAGCGCCAAGTTCTTTGTATTGCACGTAACTCAGCACGGCCTTTCGATTGTTTAGACTGTTCTTCACATTTAATTCACCCTGTATGACGGGTTTGATACCTAACGTATTGAGTGGCACCTGGACCTTTGAGTGCGGATCGAATCTGCTTGGATCAGCCATGTAGTTGTTGTACTTTGGGAAGTTAATAGACGGACCAAAGTGTGTTGAAGAGCTTAGAAAAGCGGAAGTATCAGGCAGAATGACTTTCCGATCGGCTTCCGCGGGCCTCGCTGTTGATAAAGTAGGATCTTCCTTATATTCAATGGTCTCGTAGCCAAAGAGACTCTCCGATGTTACGATGTCTAATCCCAGCACTAAAATAATAAAATTAAAATAAATGTTCAAAATGAATTCCTCTGGTATGAAGTCCATATGTATACTTTTGCGGAAATTATAAAATTTATTATTTTTACATTTAATTAAATTTTAACATTGTCACAAATATCGAATATAAAACTTATTCTTATATTTAAAGAATTTATTTTAATTTCAATTTGTTAGAGAAGATTGAAATATTTAATAACAAATATCTAAAAATAATAAAATTTTGAACACATAGCCGGAGACACTACCGCGTCTCCTGATATCTAATATAATATTAATATAATAATATTATAATACAATACAAGATTAAGTTTTTATAACAAATCATTTTATTAATTATAGTAATTGAATTGAAAGAAAGAGAGATAAAGAGTCTCACATATACATACCAACGTTATCATTGACTACTTCAAAGGGATTGGTAAAAGTATCATGTTGAGATGCCGTTAAAGTCTTTAAGTATCTCGCCATAGCATCCAGAATCTTATCGGGACTATCTCCGTTAAGTTCTTCTATTTTTTCCCATTTTTCCTTGTATTTGGACCTCAGAATTGCTCCGGCTATGCCGATCAGATGGGTGACGTAATCCTTGTCCTGACTGTGAGTCAGATTCAGACCCACTAGACTTTCTTCGTAACGTAGCAACGCCACTAGCAAGGATTCCGTCACCAAAAGATCTACTCCGTACATTTCTCTCGTAATATTCACCGCTCTGTGAACGTCTTTTGCCATTTTCACAGCTACATAGGTGTTTAGTGTGAGATCTTTGGTCTCCAGAGCCGCCAACTGGTGTCGATGTTCGATGAAGGCCTCCGAAGTACAATTAAAGAGATCGGGCGGTTGCCAACCGCCTAATTTGTCGTCGCAGGATCTGGAAGTTTTGCCTTCGGCGGTGCCGGGACAATCCTCGATGGCTGTCAATCCAAAAAGAGTCCGCGGCCACCATAAGCCGTCCGAGTATGATCTGGGACAGCCATCGTAGACTACCTCACAGCCTCTCAGAGTTACCTAATATATTAAAAAATATTAATGTTTTGGTTAGCGTTGTTAAAAACAATGGTTTTCTTAAATATTAAAATTATTATTTATTTTAAAAAATTTATTCTTAAAGTTTATTTTATATAAAAGTATTCAGAGTATTCAGAATTTTTAAAAAAATGTTAGCTAAAATATATTTTACATTTCGTTCTATTCTTTTACCTCAGCATAAGAATTTGGACAGTCGGTGCACGAACGACCGATCACTCCCGTCCGACAACGGCATTGACCTGTCTCAGTGTCGCAACGAGGACCGAAACTGCCGGTTGTATAGCACTCGCATGGTATGCATTCCTTCCGTCCGTTCGGCTGGTAGTGATTTTCCTTGCAGTGGCATTCGCCGGTGGTCTTGTTACAAGCGGGATCATAGCCCTTGGTCTCATCGCAATGGCAAGGCCCGCAAATTGGAGATCCCCACCATGTCGCCGGACAGGGTTGTTCGCTCTTTGTCTCGCAATACTCTCCGGATATATCAGAAGAAGCACATTCACACCGATAACCACGCCTCAAATCGGTCATATTTTCGATGCAAATGCCGACATCGCTGCAGGGCTCGAGATTGCAAATGCGTTCGCAATCACGACCGACGTGGCCAGCTGCGCACACACACTCGCTCGACTGCCATTTTGCTATGCAGATTGATGCCTGTGGACATTCTAAGTTGCAGTGGGTTTCAGATGGACAACCAGCATTGACGTTCTCTTGAATAGTTGGACGCTGAAGAACACTCTGGTTGGTGCCGATTCGTATATCCTGCAGGCAGCCGTTAAAGAACGGTAGATCGATATTGGTCGCTTGGTCTGAACCACCTACAAGGATTCTGCCAACGTACAAACCCTGCAGCTTAGCTGGTAGCGGCACTGTCGCAGGTCGTTCGCGATAGTCTGTGTCTAGAGATACATGGCCGCTTTGCCAGACAATCTCCATGCGATGCCATTCGCCATCCGCAACTATACCACCAGTTCGGATTACATCGGCACCATCCAGCGAGACGACCAGCTTGCCGTTTCGGATTTCTAACAGGACCGAGCTATTCTGGCCGATCTGCACGCTCATGACGAATGCTTGTCGTGCGCGAGTTCGGAGACTCAGGGCCGTCATCCACGGTAATTGAATAGGTCGTAATAATGGATTGAAGCCGAGCATGCCATCGCCGCGAAAGTTGTACGGCGCGCCAATTTCTTCGGCACAAGTAGGCCCGGCAAAGTTATGTTCGCACTCGCATACGAAACCCGACCAGATTTCACGACATTTACCATTGTTTCTGCAGGGCGACGAGGCACAGAAGGCAGCCTTTTCGGGGCAACCCGCATTCGTTCCATTGTCGGCTACGAATGAGTTCAAGTCAACGAAAACGTGATCGATGTAAAGATCACTAATGCATCCTACATAGTCTTTGTTGCGGATCTGGAAGCTGGATGGGATTGATGGCAGACCACCTAATTGTAACGGTCCAGTCAAGTCCAGGAACCTGTGGCAGGTTTCGGTGACAAATCCACAACGATCCTCGAGAACTCTTTCGCTCCTACCAGCGCAAGTCCATTTTGGACCTAGTCTCTCCCCGTGCTTTAGAGCAAGCGCGACGTCACAATCGTCTAGAGACACTGTCACAGTTCGGTTGATGTATGAGACCACAACCTCATGCCACTGACCGTCCGAGACACCACCAGGAACGCTCGCCATTGCTCTTGTTACTTCATCACCGAGAGAAAAGCTAAACTGCACGCGCGAATCCACGATTTCTAGGGCGATAAAGTCGTGGCGTTCGTTATATCTGCCATTGTAGAGTAGCAAGCCATCGACCAACTCGGTAGCAAATTTCAATCTAAGATGAAGACGATGGCGTTGCTTAAGAGAAGCGAAAGTGAGGAATGTCGCCGGACCGAAACTGCGTGCTTTCAACTCGCAGAAAGGTGTTACGCTTTCCAAAGCGGATACAGGGCAACCCTCGCAGGTAAAGCCAGCGGTATTCTTCACGGTACACTGAGAACCACTTTTACAGATGCCAGGTGAGCAAGCGTTGCGGTTCATTGAGATCTCGCAGTTTACGCCGGTGAAATCCGGTTGGCAGGTGCATGAATATCCACCCTCTCGCCTGTGGCAGATGCCACCATTCATGCAAGGATTCGAGTAGCATAAATTCACTTCGGTGTCACACATATAAGCCTCGCGACTACCAGTAAAGCCACGGGCGCACCTGCACGCGAATGTGGTCACCGGATAGATGGGCCGAAAGAGAACCGTGTCGCTGCTGGCAAAACCGGACGCGTTGCCAAACTTGAGCACCGTCAGGCACTCTTCAAAATTTAGGCAAGGCTCACGAACGCAAAGATTGTCATCGAAGGGCAGAACAGTGACAGTTGCTAATCTCGCCAGGATACCGCGATTGAGGTATACTCGTTCCTGAAGAAATTGCGGACTGTAAAACTCGTCAACCGTGCCTGGTTCGACCTTGCGTGCCGAGAAGCTCACGTTTAGGATTTTGCCGTGCACGTTTGCGTCTTCCTGAACACTAAAGAGAAAGATGTTCTCACGGGGACAGGGAATGATAGCCGCCAAGCCATCCAGAAAGTAACCCAGAAGAGGACTAAGAAATGCTTCTACTGTCATATCGTCCAATCTTACTGTAATCGAGTTCAGCAACATCTCATCAGTGATTAGACGTACTGATAACGTCATTGTGGCCTTTGCCTCGTTGATACCGTCTGTCACGGCGACTTCCATAGTCGCTACTCGCGGCACGTTAGTGTTGAGTTGCGGCGACAATCGGATCTCGCCAGTGGTCCTATTGAGATCGATCAGATTCGCATTATTGCCGGAGAGGATGCTGTAGACAAGATTGTCCGTCACATCAGCATCCACTGCTGGTATCCGGCCAATTGATACAGTTGGGAAGAAGTCCTTGAAATTATTAAAAATGATTTGAAAGTCCTTAAGCACCGGCGCGTTGTCGTTCACATCGGTCACTAGAATCTGCACCACCGCGTCTGAACGCAGCGGTGGTGACGCGGCTCGCACCACGAGTTCAAATTTCTTCTTCGGCGATTCGTAGTCAAGTTCCTCGAGGGTAATTAATTCGGCGCGATCGGCGCCTTGACGGACATTCAAGCTGAAGCTGTTGGAGTCCTCGCCGCCGATGATACTGTACTGCACTACTGCATTAGGACCCTCGTCTGGATCGTGGGCGTAGATTTCACCAACAGTCGAACCAATCGGAGAATTCTCGGCGATGTAAAGAATGATCTTATCGTTCTCAAAGGCTGGTGGCGAGTCATTGATGTCTTCTATTTTGATAGTAACAGGAACGACGGACGAGAGTGCGGGCGAACCGCGATCTGTGGCAACGGCTTTTAAAACGTAATATGCCACCGATTCTCGGTCCAATATTTTCGCGGTTCTGATAATGCCTGTTGTAGAGTCAATCGTGAACGCTCCGTCGCCGTCATCCTCCAAACCGTATCTTACCTAGATCAGTCATATTAAGTTTATTAAAAAGTTATAAAAAAATTTTTTGAAATTAGTATTAAAAATGTATACTATTAATTTATGCTTATATTAATTATTTTTTTATAAATATAATTTATAATATTTATTTATTATTAATTAATTAATTAGAATAATCAAATATTTATAATTGTCGTTTATATATATAAGCAAATCAATTAGTATACTATATTTCTCATTTAAATTATATCATAGCAACATTTTTGCCGGAGAGAGCTACACTTACCCGACCATTGAGATCGGTATCTGCATCGGTCGCCGAGACTCTCAGTACGCTAGTGCTTAGCAAAACATCCTCGAGAATCGAACCCTGGTATTGCGGCGCCTCGAAGACCGGTGCGTTGTCATTTACGTCCGTGACGGAGATCTCCACGTCGGTGGTATCCGATAGCGACGGTACTCCACCGTCCCGGGCGGTCACTGTCAACAGATACGAGGGTACCAGCTCGCGATCGAGCGCTTTTGTCGTCGTGATTGCTCCAGTTTGTGGATTGATGGTGAACTCGGTGATCACCTGTTCGCCATTGTCAGTCGCTAGGCTGTATGTGATCTGGGCGTTCTTGCCGACATCGGCATCAGTGGCACTCACCACCAGCACTGTCACGCCAATCGGCGCATCCTCGAACACCGAGACTGAGTAGGGTGCGTTTTCAAATTCTGGAGAATAATTATTGGCGTCCGACACGTTGACGTAAACCAAGGCGGTATCAGTGCGGCTGCCGCTATCTGACGCAGTTACTGTCAACACAAACCGTTTCTCCTGCTTATAATCGAGCGTCTGTGCGATAGTTATAAGGCCACGTCCGTTTTGCGAAGCAATAGAGAAGCGCCCGCGCGTGTTACCGCCCGTGATTTCATAATGGATTCTGGAATCCTCATCCGGATCGGTGGCGGTCACCGTGGTGACCGGGGTGCCCGCCAGACTATCCTCGGACACTACAGCTTCGTAGGTTTTTGGCTCGAAGTAAGGATCATTGTCGTTTACATCGGTCACCGTGAGAAATACTGTCGCACTCGCGGATTTTGGTTCTTCTCCAGAATCTGCCGCGATTACGGTAAATTGATATCTAAAATCAAAATAAGAATCTCTTGTCACAGAGTTTGCTAAAGAATCTAAAGTAAGGTTTTTAAGTAAAATTTTATGTAAAGTGAGAACGAGGAGACTATTTTGTATAATTTTCTTTAAACATTAGTTTTAAATGTTTTACTTTTATCCGCGTTGATTTATATTTGAATTATTCCAACTCCGATTAAATGACGATTTAATAATCGATAAAAAGATTAACATACTTTGAACACTGTTCACGATCTAATTGCTTCGTCGTGTAGATCCAACCAGTTTCCGCTTTCACGGTGATAGGGAAGTTCTCTGTGGAGGCGCCGGTGAAATCACGTGCGCCAATGGTGTATTTGATGAGTGCATTGTTACCCTCATCGGCATCGTATGCTTGTACCCTCAGGATCGAATATCCCAGTGGTACGTTTTCCGACACTGATTCTTGGAAATGGCTGGTGTAGAATCTTGGCGCGTTGTCATTTACATCCTTGACCATCACGAGTAGTTGGGTAGTGTTGGAACGGGCGGGCGAGCCACCGTCCTGAGCACGTATGACGATCTTGTAGCTCCTGGTGGACTCGTAGTCGAGTGGCTTAACTAGGGCTACATCGCCACTCATTGAATCGATCGAGAAGGTGTTCTGCGTGTTGCCGCCAATGATAGCGTAGCGGACAGCAGCGTTGGCGCCAGCATCCGCATCCATCGCCCTAATACGGGCTATCACTGGATTAGTCGTGTAGTCCAAGTCCTCCGGCACGGTCGCCGAATATGTGCGCTCGGTGAACTGCGGGTAATTGTCGTTGTCGTCCAGTACACGTACCACCAGGGTTGCATTTGCACTGCGTCGCGTCGAAGGTGGTGTCGCTTGATCCGTAACGCTGAGCATTACCGTGTAAATCTCGGTTTGTTCGCGATCGAGAGGAGTTCGTGTAGTGACCACACCGGATCTGAGATATACAAAGATTTACATTGTAAATATATGAATCATGCGAAATTATATTTCATTGAGCTGATTATATCAAAGATTTTATCTCGTAAGAACTTCTAAAAAAGAAAAATTAAATTGAGAAAAAACAAAAACATGAAAGAGAGAAAATGAAAAATACATTTTTTATTTTCTACGTAGTTTAATCGTGTCACACTGATAGTATTAAAATATACAGAAGATAATCTATAATTCATGTAATAGAAAAAGATTAAAATCTTTTTTATTTATGAATATAGAAAAAACTTTCTAAAAACGAAATATTAAGATGACTAGTTTCGGGTGTCAAGAAATTAAGCTTTCTACTAATATTTTGGAATATATATATTTGTATAGTACTAACCTTGGATCGATTCTGAAAGTCGCTGTATCCTCCATATGCGTGATGCTATTACCTGCCGTAATAGAGACGATAGAGTACTCTACTTCAGCATTTCTTCCAGTATCCTGATCCGTAGCCTTAACTGTTATTACCGTGGAACCTACGGGAACACCTTCACGTACCGACGCGTCGTATTCCGGTCCCTCGAAGCTGGGCGTATGATCGTTTGCATCTAACACATTAACTTGAAGAGTCGTTGTGCCGGTACGCGGAGGAAATGAATCGTCCACTGCCAACACCTATTTGATAAATCCATTGTAATTGAAAGCTATTTTGATTAGAACCTCTATTTTTCACTTTAATTGCATGTACGTTTTACAACGTTAATAAATTGCTTTTAAACATAAGAGAGTCGCACGTCTCTTAAATAATGTTTTTTTTTTTTTTTTTTATGAAATTTATTCTTACAGTTAGAACAAGGCTTATTATTTCTAATTTTCATTCCTTTTACACTTCAGAATTCGATACGCACCCGAAAATAGTGCACGTCGACATTTTCCCTATCCAACCTGGCACGGGTGGTTACTCTTCCGGTTACTGGATCAAGAGCCAATAATGCTTGCGATCTCGCATCTACCAGGGAGCTCATGGAATATCGTACGGCGCCGTTCTCGGGGTCTCTAGCCTTCACTGAAGTCACATACATTCCCGGCTCTTTTTCCTCTTCTACCGCGGCGAGATAGAGGTGTTGCTCGAAATACGGCGATTGATTCTTGAGCTCTCGTCTCACCCTTCTACCTAGATCAGTGTCGTCCAGCTGATGGTGATGAAAGACAATCTTCAACCGATGCTCGGCATCGGTCAGACGCGAGTCGCCGGTGCAGCGCAAATTCATGCTAACTGAGACCTTCCATAATGGGTCGACTAGGCATTGCTCGGTAGCGGAAACCAAGTCCCCGGCGGCACCTTCCACGAGGAACCTGGGGTCTGCCACTCCACCCCATCTTGTTTCGCATTCCTTCAATGTCGTCTGAGGTAGAAAATCACGGAGAGCTGCCACCAGTTGAGACGTCCGTAGGCATACCTCGGTAAACCTATCGATGTAATTAGATCTTTAGTTATGAATTTTAATTTTTTCGAAGCTAAATATTCCTTTTTTTTTTTAAATTACTTTATGTACCATATAACAATCTAAATTAGTTAATATACACCTGTGTTAACGTACTATTCTGACCATTATTTTCCCAAAACAGTTTCTTTTTTTTTTTTTTTGCTATGAGGAATCTATTTATATTTTGTGTGCAGAATTTTATTGTCGTTAGAGGAATCTATTTATATTTTGTGTGCAGAATTTTATTGTCGTTATATTTATATTTCGCCAAACAAATTAAATACCGATATTACGAGTCACTAATTCAGTATCTACAGTCATCAATATTTTTATCTATATACATCTAACAGCCGATTTCCAACCTGTCGGTGCTGGGCATCGCGTAAGAGGCCAGAGTCTCCGCCATCCAGCCCCTGGTGGCCGCCAGGTCGTGATTCTCCCCGCCGCATCCGGTAATTAAAATCCTTAATGGCAAACTATAGTAATCGATAGTAGGTCTACCGAGGCGGGAGCTCGTAGAGTCGACGTAAAAGGTGAAAACGCGCGGATACTGGAGACCTTCACAGCTAAGCGTCTTTGCCAGAGTTACGCGGCCTGTGTGCGGATGGACTTTGAGGAGCTTCCGAGCAAACCAAGCGGTGCGCTCACTAGACGCCTCGTACTTGCGACGACCACCCAGCTGTGGCACTCCTGCCTCGAAGACGACAGTTCCGACGGGCGTGCTGGACGGCAGTACCGTCAGATAGCCATCGCTCAGCGTCCAGATGGTCGTCAACATCAACAGCATCCATCTCCACCTCGCCATGGCGACACGCACTTAATCCGTGCGATCCTGCGATTTGTACTGTTCTCTTCCCAAGTGCCTCATGATCGTCTATCTTCGCGAATTCTTCGCGAATTTAACACAACGCCAGGATCCTCCTAAGGAAAAGATATACCGATCGTAAATTTTTTTAATTAATTTAATTTGTAATATTACGTACTCCAACTTTAGTCTAGAACTATATGTTTTAAAACCGACAAATGAACGCGCGTTTACTTTTAAAGTAAAAATTATAAAATTTTCGCACAAGAGAATAGAGGTTTTATTTATATTCAAATTTTTTGTCAACAAGAAGTTGTCTTGAAAAATCTGTAAAGCAACTAGTCATTAGTGTCATTACAATTATGATCGAGAGATATAATTATCGCTAAAATAAGTCATTTTATTAAAATATAATGCAGAGAATTCTTCCATTTTTTTCCATTAGAACGAATATGGAAAGTAATTTATTTATAATAACATCAAGTAATTACTTCGAAGTAACTTGCTACAAGCTCAGCAAAATATCGGAATCGAGGAAAGCAAAAGATGATAGTAATCACGATGGACGACATTGCGATTGAAAGTAATATCGCGTGTACTTCTTGTTCCTCGCGTTTAATTCAACCTGGTAGACAGGTCGCGCGACTATAAGGACGAGTCAGCATATATAAAGATGTAAGGACGAGAGTCTCTCGTTTCTTGCGCCTTATTTCGCTCTGGCGAGTTTAATTGCCTTCTCGCTACAGCGAAGTACCATAATTGCCGGTACAGACGGCGATTTTCGAGGTGCACACATTTTCCCTTGCTATAGAAACAACCTTCCTTCGCCAGCAAAACGTGGGAAACAAACTACTTCCGGTCGTGCCCTTGCAGCGAGGTACCCCAAAGATACCGGTCTTTCGTCGGTTGTAGAATTCGTCGACCTCTCACATTACACGCATGCTTACATCGCGAATTTAATTCGATCGACCATTCGATCGCTTCTCGAGTTCCGGGCCTCTTTCTTTCACGCTCGACTTCAACGCGTGCGATCTTTGAGAAAGTCGATCGCGAGCAACGGAATCGCGCGCACTAACGCGATACTCGTCTTGTGAAGAAGAGCAGATTTCTCCAATTGTAGAAAAAAATGTATATAAGTCGAGATACCGTTGTGTTTTGGTATTCTCCAGACTAGGTTAAGTCGGGCGGGATAATTAATCATTTCAATATGATCTTATTACAGCTTGTCTTATTATAATTATTTAGTTTATTAAAAAATTATAATTTTATATACGTAAGTAATATGTGCATGTTTATATACAATATAATGTCGAGAACAGTTGAATGTATGAATGCTTTTTTTTCAAACGTGCGCCCTTGACATCTAACTTGGAGGAACAATGGGTCTAATATGCAGTAATGCGACGTCCGCTGTCATGCTCGAAAGAACGGAAGACTGCGATCTTTATCTCGAGTTCATCATGGTTCTCATTGCGCAGCAGTCTGCTTATGCAGCACATACTTTATCTCTCATATAATTAAAAATATAATGTTTCCCTCATTATTAAATGATAATAAAATTTTTAAGTCAAAACATTTCAGAGGACAGATAATTATCTATCTCTCTTTGATAAAGTTACTTTCTTTAATTATATCTATCACAATAATTCTAGGTTGTCTAGAGAAAAGAATTATCTTCATGTTGCAGAGAGTAATTTTTCGTTTATTTTGTATAAACAAGAATGATTTCATAATTTCATAATAATTAAAGCACATTGTGTAAACTAATACAATTACTAGTTAGTAATTAAAAAAATAATTAAAATATTAAATTATTTTCATAATAAAATCTCGAGAAAGAAAGGAAAAGAATAAGAAATTGTATATAACGCATCATTCAGGAGGAATTCCAGATTGTTATTTAAAATATATCATGCGATAGAGAGTCGCTATAAATAAAAGCATTTCTCCATCCATATTTACATTACCTGTTTTGATGAATGTTGCTGTTGAAAACTGGATCTTATTTAAATATCGAATACATCTTAAGCCGCATAATCAACGCGAGTGCAGAGCTATGCGAGGATGAGTCCGGATATACATAAATACCGGCCAACCATTTTACTCGCTTCGTTGTACTTGTCGTACATAGCTGGGAATTCAATTTAACATCTATGGAGACTTAAAGAACAGTTGGATTTCGGAACGAACGTGTACTTTTAAGGAAATAACTGTAAAATCCGAGTTATTCGCTATGCGAGCGAAATGATGAATATATACAAAAACGAAAAATCGTAACAATCGACATGAAAAATCAACCGTAACAAAATTGAATAAGTGGATAAACGTAATACCGTTAAATTTTTTATAACATTATCGAAGTTTTCAAGATATTTTAAACCGCGTTTGAAATAAGATTTCCAAATGAAGAGAGACGTTCACAATACAATAAACATAGACAGGTGATTTATGTACTCGAGCATTACGACACTCGACCGTTGAGTTTCTTGATCAACGACTCCTGTAACAAGTACCCGCAAACCGCATCTCGAACTGATTTGCTGTTGCCAGTATCGATGTTAACACGACTTTTTAAGCGTATCATGAAAGAAAAATGACGATTCGTCGATTAATCGATTGTGTACACAGATCTCAGTTTTTTAGTTTATAAACTCAAAAGAATTGAGAAAATACATTTCAAAGTATAAATACGAAATGTGAAATATGGAAATTTTCTGTAAATAATGTTTTTCTACGAAAAGAAAAAGAAACTTTTGTTTGGAAAAAACGTAGTAAACTTTAACAGAAATATGCGTATACAGTTATTATAAAATTTATGTTTTACAATTAATTAATTTATTTGCTTTAATTAATTATTATTAATTAATATTTTATCAATACTAATACCTAATGTGTCTTTAAAAAAAGTATTAGCATGAAGAGTTTATTTATAAAATATAAATGTATAAATTAATGATAAAAATGACTACACCGTAAAAAAAATTTACTAATTTTAATAAATAATTCTTTGAATAGAGTTCTATAGCGGAATATTTAATAAATGTAAACACATATTTAGTAATAATAAATAATAATAAATAAATATAAAATAAAATAGAACAATTGAAGAGCTAAGAGCTAATTATTGATTAGATCCAAAAACTATTAATTCAACTATCATTTTTTTCATTTATCTAAATATTTATTTATCGTAAGTAAATATTCCGCTAGAACTATTTCAAAGAAATATTTATTAAAATGTAACAAATTTTTTTTCAGTGTATTACTCTGCATATTTCTATATTCCGAGAAAGCTTTGTAGCACTCTCTAGATTCACGAATTTCTAAAAAGTATGGTTTTACTAGTAAAATAATTCAGTAAAAAAACGTTCACCTTCATCATCAATCTGATCTCGTCAATCTGATTTCAACATTGAATCGTTAAGTTCTTCCATTGAATGCTATTTGCACTCAACGTGAGCGTAAAAACAAATGTTCAAATGGTGAAATGCCTATGTGCAGAATGTTGCGTGCAACCCGTCGGGTAAATCGAGCTGAGAAACTTTAGTCCGTAATGTGCAATGCAATGCACCGTGCAATCGCGTGAAGATGCAGCGCTCGCGGTGCATAGGCGCATCCTCCCGTTTCGTGCAGCAGCTACGAGATTATTCCGTTCGTCGGTCCTTGCGAGAAATTACGGCAACTGGAGTTGACCATGCCGAGAACGAACGTGATAGTTCGATACTTTACTTCGTGTAAGTTCAGTCGATCCGGACCGATCGTCTTCTTCGTCGCTCGAGGGGATCTATTAGACGATCCGGTTCTCGCCAATCCACGGTCAGCGTACCGGCATGGACCCAATCGAGCCTCCAGGCCTCCGTCGCGAAGGTTAGAAACTTATTTGCAGGAAACAAGATGAAGAAAGGACAAAGAAAAGAAAGACTGCTACGTCGAATACTACAATATATCGTTCGGTAATCCGAGCGTAACGTACGTTTTCCGCATGGAAAGCAACAAATTTATTTAACTTCTTCGAGTTAGAATGTTTTTTTTTATTGTTAAAGTTAGCGAGTTCAAAAGTTATCAATTATGTACGTATTTCCTTTATTCGATATATGAGAGAATAGGCCAAATTGTTCTAATAAATAAATCATGTTTTCACAGAATGAGAAAATACAGGAATCATTTTCAACAGAGATCTTTCTTCTGAAGTGTTCTCTAAAGGTTGCAGCTATAATATATGCGCGCAAAAGATATGTTTTCTGTGAAATTTTTCTCTTTTCAAGTCATCACGAAAGACGTGCTATTACGTTTTAACTCTGCTATCTTGCTAACTTTAGTTAATTAAAGATCTGTGCGATTTTTAAATAATTGTTGAGAACATCAAGAGAGAAGAAACCGTTAAAGCCTTATTCATCTATGTAGATTCTAGCCTATTTTATGTATTAAATGCAGTTATGCGCTATCAATGCACCATTACTATTGAGATATCTTAAATTAGAACATTAATTTTTCCGCTTGACCAAGCAGAATTTTTAAAGCTCTTAGCTGCGTAGTTATCTTTCGATCGTCTTGAAAAATACTTTAGCCAAAGGCAATGTTAAGTGTTACCTGAGATATTAATGTATGGAAATTTCTTATAATTTTCTAACGAGACTGATCTTTTATAACACCGTCTGCTCTTTTTGTCTAATCTAAAAGTCTAAGGACCATCGTATACAAAATGATAAGCTGCATAACCATAACATAAGACCGCTGGACCAATGAGCATCTTAAGTAAATTAGTATGACATCTTTATGTCGGATGCTCATTGGTCCAGCAGTCTTACGCAGTTTTATGTAATTTTGCGTGTAATGGCCAAAATATAATTATTGACGTAGAAAAATTCAAAATTCGTTACATATGATATATTTTATTCCATTATTAAATGAGAATCTTTATTATAATCGTAGTCAATTAAACCGAGATCGTTTTAATAAATAAAGAATTTTTTCAAATGAGTATTGATTATTTCCGCCAA